TTATCAGTCATAACAAAAATATAACAAAACGCTCTCTACTAACTACATATCCAACAGTATTCTTTATTAAAATCAGCCAAAAATTTTCATGGACAGGCATAAATATAAAACGCACATTACAAATAGAATATTTTTGAGCTTCACATTGACACGGTACCATATATTTTGTGATACGTTTAATACACGGTTACCTCGTCTCTTTCATCAGCCGTCTTATTACATGGCGAGCTTAACCTGTTTACAGTACCCCTGCTATCTAGCTAGGTTGCAAAGTCCATCTACTGGAGCGTGATCGCCATCGGTGAACGCTCCCTCTCTTGTTTCTGACGTCCTACACGAACTTATGCTATGTGCCGTTTTTACATATCGCAAGGTACTTTTATATAAATTATTAAAAATCAAAAGAATTTGTATTTCTTTTCTGGCATTTAGTTTTAAATAAAAATATAAATAATATTAAATTCAATAATAGATTAAAATTAAGTTCTTCGAACATATTAGTTATTAAAATCAGTCAGATGAGTGATGAAAATTTTTATGGACAAATATAAAAAAACGCTCATTATGGTCATATCATAATAATATATATTATGTTAATACTTATTTCTAATATACAGAGTCATTTTTTTTATCATTAACCATTAAATTAACAAAAAATAAAAATACTACTAGACACGAAATATTTCTAGTATTTATAAATAATTAAAAAAATAGTTTTTTTTCCAGATTATTATGGATTTTGATTTTGTATTCATATAGTATTAATCTATTTACAGTAATTATAAATATTTTCGATAATAATGTACGACTACTTTTATGGAGTGTTTTTACTTTGTTATTAATATATGAATATATAATAATTCAAAAATATACGCTTTTTCAATGCTCGTAATAAAATCAACGTCCAGATTTAAACAATTTCAAATTTGCTGGCTTATATAATTACAATATAGTAAATAATATATATCTTGATTAGCTGGCTGCTAATAATTTGCAATTAACTATTATTTTTATATGATTTATTTATTCGTTGCTGGCCAAAATATTTTGAAATATTTCATATATAAGAGGCTGCATTTTGTTATTCTTTCGACACATTTTTGTGATTTGTCTTAAGTTCAATACGTGTTTAATAACTGTTCAATCCGTTTTGTTTCTACGTGCAAACTACAAGAATAACAATGGCTGTTTCATGCGCCCAAGAACAATACTCTTTGGAGATGCAGCTGATTTTACTCGCAACCAATGTCAAGTACTTTGAGATGTACCGCGAATTTCAGTGGCTCTTTCCTCGTCGTTATTTCAATAAAAATGACGATTTCGACAAAGTATCTTTTGCTGCTAATGTCCGTGAGATTGCCAATTTTACGGAGTGGAAAATGTGCAGCGATCAAGTGTCGTATCAGCAACTACCGGCGAAGGATATTTTTCAGCACGTTGTCGAGTTGTCTGTTAAATCTGAAAATGCGCTGCGTTTGTTATGTCCAGAAGATGAAAAGCGTTTCATGAAAATGGTTATATCAAACGACTCCGACTTATCTTTGGAGACATTTGACGGGTATCAGTACTACTCAATATTCTCCATAGGCACTAGTTATCCGTTTCAGTTCACNTACTACTCAATATTCTCCATAGGCACTAGGTATCCGTTTCAGTTCTCCGAAGACGATAAGCGTTTCGTTTTAAGAGGATGTCGGATGAGTGATGTCACTTCCTACCTGCTTGGCCAACGAAAATATGAGATAAACGCGACACCGCAGTTGTCGAACGCGCTCAAGACATCCCCAGCTATCAAGTGTTGCGGTAACAACAGTCTGGGTGATGAACTTAAAGCAGTACTCGTTTTCCGTGTCCCGAATGGATCTTATTGTCATAAACCGTTGGCAAAAAACACGAGGCCTTGTTTTTTGTTGATATTATCCAAAACAACTCGAAAGGCGATCGCCAAGTGCAAGCCAGTAATGCGAGTAAAACCAACTCCTAGAGCTATAAAGCCGCTGATTATAAGGCATAGACAGCCTGAAGCTTTTAATCGTCGTGGCAGTAGAAGGGCTAGGCCTGCCAACACATATTTTTCAGTACCAAGTTAACCATTCCAAGCGTTACAAGTGAGATGATATCGTGGATGCTAGGTAACTGATCATTTATAAATATTCATGGTCATAATTATGTATATTTTCTGTTGAGAAATATCTCGATTTATGTTATCTGTGCAAGTTCAGATTTTTTAATTGTTTATTACATTTTTCATTTACTTTTTTGTATTTGTTTTTCTTTTATTAAATCTGTATATTTGTTGAAAACATATTGTTGTCAAGTACATTGTTAAATATATATTTTTTGTATTATATGTATATTTTTTGTAATAAACTTTGTTGATTATTAATCAGTGATTGTTTTTTTATTACCTATATAATATACAAATAAATGATTACACCCAAAGAAAAACGTCAATCAATTTTGATAGAGAAATTTTATCAAGGGTTTATGATAATGTTTTATTAATACGAACATAATAATTATTCTTATGAATAATTATTGTTCAATNAACAAAATAACTATTCTTATAAATAATTATTGTTCAAGACAAGAAAAAAAAATATCATATTGATAAATATATCATAGATTCAATAGTAATGATATATTTATCAAATTGAACAATGAATTTATTATATAGATCGAGGTTTTTCTCTGGGTGNTTGTTTTTTTATTACCTATATAATATACAAATAAATTATTACATAAAAGATTATAATGAAGCGATTTAATTAAACTATTATTAATATAATTAAGTCGACTGTTATGCTATACTTCTACACATATATGTGATTATTAACCTTCTGATACTTAGACTATTTGAAAAATTATATTTTGTTGATATTTTTCAACCACCTTATTGAGTGAAATATCTACAGCTAAAACAAAGAAGAAAAAAGAAAGAAAGTAAGAGTATTATATATATGTGTGTATGTATAGTTTTTAACATTTAAAAAATTTATTTAAAATTAATCATGAGAGAAGGTATTTCAGTAGTATTTTGATAAGAAATGGATCTTATTACATTAAATAAAATTTTCTATCTCTTATAGAAAAAACATATCAGTTGGGAATTAATGTTTCTTTCTATCTATATTTTTTAAGTTGATAAAAATCACAAAATTATTTGGGTTTTATTTATAGGATGATGAATTTGTGACTGTTAAAGTTAAAATTAGTCGTACTTCAGTAACTATTGAAGCCATCAATTCATGGCTGTATTAATATGATCTCAGTAAATTGTAGACCTTTTAAATCAATAGAAGATTCTGGCTTTAGAAAAGTTGCTGATCCTCTTTTTACAGGAATTAGTTTTATAGCAAAGTAATACGCGAATACTTAATTGCACGTACTATTTATATTAAGCAACTTATCTCAAACGAGATAAAGGACAATTTTTTTTTTAAAAAAAAAAAGATTCGGCTACTCGCCATGACCGAAATATACTTGGTACTAATGTACAGTACTAAAAAAATTCAATTATATTAATACGCACTTTAGCCATAATTGAAATTAACTAAGTCTGTCAACTTGAAAAATATAGTTATTAATGTATTGGAGAATTATAAATAAATATATATTTATTTATTTACATTTTTTTTCTTGCCCAGTGCCGTTACAATTAATATTTAAACATTATTATACGTGCTTATGTTCCCTATATATAAACCATTTATTGACATTAGGATTATCTGTATCGTAATTGGTTCCCCGTTAAGAATCGAATCCTGGTAAGTAATTTTTCTAGTTAATCAGTTAATTACATTTTTCTATAATAATTACGTACTTTTTAGTATCCCCTTCCCTCCACTCTATCAAAATGAAACGCATTATATTTGAATAATACATTTCCTAACGTTGTTCGTTATCCACCAAAAACACAGTAAGCACAAGGAGATTGAGGTGCAACAATGCCAAGGAGTTTCACACACTTTTGAATTGAGTTCAAGAGTACAACTTCCTGGGAAAAAATACAGCTACCCCCCTGGAAAACCCGTCTTGTCGAACCTTTTAAATTCAAAAATTCCTAACACTGTCCTTTCTGAAACTACAATCATCACACACAAATCACAACCCTCTTTAAGTCCTTGCGTTCCATTAATACCATTACTGATGAGTATACAATTCTGACCTCCTACCCAACCACTTCTAGCCCTCCAACAAAGAGAACTACAGTTCATTGGACTAGCACCATTAGACCATCATTACCTCAGGTAATAGAACAGCATAGCCGAGCTCAACACTGAAAACAACTGGACCAATAGTAAACGACGGGGCGTCTGCCTCAAACAGTCTGAGAACTAATTTTGAAATTTTAATCGATCTATTACTTTATTATTTTTTTCTTAGATTATTAATGCTAATAATAAGGGTAATATATAAATCCACTTATTTTGTATATTTTTGTTATTGCTTTGAATCCATCGATTATAACTCAGCATCTTAAAATATTAATTCCGTATATATTTTAGTTTCGATGCTAAGTTAAAAAGACATTAATTTTACTTTAAATTTTAAATTTTTTAAATGTACAAAATATCTCTTCTAATATCCATAAGAAAGCTAACAGAAATTATTAGCACTCGCTATGCTTTTATGAAATGTTTCAATTAAATCCAACTCGCACTCATATTGTCTCTCTCAAAAATAAAGACCTGATTATTTTTGGTTAAAACTTTATATCAAATCTATGTCGTTAGATATTTAATTTTTAGTTGCTGGTACTTAGATTTCTAATACATTTTATCTTCGATTTAACTGTTGTAGTGATACAAATAATTCAATGCATAAAACATAAACAATTTGCCACGACCCCACCGCGCTGGGGTCGTAGCATAGGAAATCATTTTCTTAGAAAACTAATGGGTTCACGAGAAAAAGTTTTAGCACTAATTTTGTACACAATATTTAGATTTACAATTTGTATGGTATGTTTATTTTTATTATGTGTTCGTTTATAAGTTAAATGAAAAAACAAAAAACTATGATAAATGGCTAATTTTTAGCCTAAATTAAATACATGTTAAATATAATTAGATACAGGTTAAACTTACATAATAGACTTAAAATTTATGGTTTCTTTGTACACCTACATATACACAAATTTGGGAGCTGAAACCTATAATTTTTTTTTATTATCACTAATGAATACCCTATTATCTATGTATTATGATAAAAATAAACCGTCGTTAAATACTGCCCCGATTACCTTTTCTACATTTTCAAATGTTAATATTTCGATAAATAATAATAAAAAGCTGTTTATCAACCAGTTTAAATTTTATTTAGACTATATTAATATCTCACATTGACATTTAAATACTTAAAAAAAGGTGTAAAGGATAGAAATATACATTTCAAAAAGTTGAAACCAGTAAGTTTCAACTTTGCTTCAGTCTCACCATAACGAGTTTCGACATAGTGAAAAGATAGATGTTATATTATAATATTACTTAATTTAATTTAAAAAAAAATTAAATTATGAATTTTACTGAAATTTTATACAATTTAAAGCAATTAACTTTTTTAGTTGTTGATATATTTATGTTTAATAGATATTACAACTTTACAACTTTTTGTCGACTCTTCAGTCTTATTTATACTTGTATAATTAATACTGTTTTTTTAGCTAAATATTCGCAACAATCAGATTCTTAAATAATTCAGGAATTTATTATTTCGGGTAACATAATGTTTTCGTAAAAGTCAATAAGTTTTTTTTCCATATTATCATTCCAAAATTTGTCATCTCGAAGAATTTTACAATAAACTAAACCTAAAAAAGTAAAACAATAGCATTTTATAGTAAAAATATTTTTGAATGAAATTATACATGTAATTTTATAGAATTTCCCTTAATACGGAATCATTTAATAATTTCTTAAGCATAGATTGTAAATATTGTTATGAAGATAGTTTTTTATATTAATATAGTATCATTCGAGAAACCTTTATCATAGTCGGTTGTAAAACAATTACCGTAATAGGAAATTTGTATATAAATAAAAAATGTCTTTTATAAAAATAAAAGTATAGCATATATATTATGATAAAAACAAATCCAACTAATATTCATATAATATATGAATATTATTATAATATTATAATTAGTGATGGGCATAATCGAATGATTTCGATAATCGAATGATTAGTAATCGAGACATTTTCATAATCGAGTGAATCTCTCGAAAAATCACTCGAAGTTATAATCGTCTGCTCGTATGATAAGAATAATCAACTATTATTATTTATCGAGAGAATCGAAAAATTATTCGAAATATGAATAAATATACCTATAGTAAATAATTATTAATTTAATTTTGCTTTTTTTATTTGTTGGTGTTTATTTATAATTATTATATTAAACTATAATTTAGGAATAATAATAACAATAATATATTAATAATGCATTATTAATAAGTGCTTTAAATAAAAGACAAGTTGTTATTTTTATTATTTAATAATTATTACCTATATTTTAAAAAAACCGATAACAAATTTAAAAATAAAAACATAAGATAAGGTAGCAATAGCCGGCTTGACCATCATAATTAAAATACCTGATTCCACACCTAATTGATTTTTCATAAATTCACAACTAGTGAGAGAATCAGAACTCAGTAGTTTAGCCAGTTCAGGACAAAACTTTGTTCTAATCGTCACATACTTCCCAAAAATGTGACAGATAAGGTGTTGTCATGAGTAGCGATTGAACGAGTTGAAAATAAGAAGACTCGAAGTCAATAATTTAATAATAATTCGACTATAATTTATGCTAAATAAAAACTAAAAAATAGTATTCTCTCGTTTCATCGTTTCATGGACATCATTCGAAATAACTTTTATTCGATTATATACATTTCAAGATCAAGAAATCATTGTTTTTATAATAAACGAGAAATCATTAGAAATAATCACTCGATTATAGAATAATCAATATTATTTAAAAAATCAGAATATCTCGATTTATATAATAAATAATCATATAATAGATATGATTTCAATAATCGAAATATCTCGATTATTTTCATAATCGAGATATCTCGATTATGCCCATCACTAATTATAATACTATTATTATTTTCTTTATAACAATGCATATATTTCTGAGGGGGAAGTTAAATTTAGCCACTAAAAAATGGACCACCCTTTGCCTATAAATTATAAGTACATATTTGGACAAGTTGAATGTTTTACCAAATACTAATAAATACTCGGAGTTCTACATAAAAGTATTATATGGTATGAAGAAAAGTTGAGATTTGTTTATGCAAACAAAGCATGGGAAATAGTAAAAAGTTTTTGAGTTACATTAAATAACGTTCAGATGATCGATAATCCTCATTCTTTGGAAGATTGAGGAATATCGGCCACATAGTGCTCTGAAATTAAAATTAGCTTTCTTAATCAATTTTTTCAAAAAATTTTGGTATTTTTTCGAATTATTTTTAGTATATCTTTACATACATTTTTTAAACATAACCAAAATTTATTACTTTTTATTTTTTATATAAAAAAAGTATTGCTTACACTTAAAAAAATAATAAGAATTATTTTTAAAATAAAATTTAACAATCAACAATTTTTTTATCATTACAATTAAAAATATATTATAAAAATTGTACAAGTTATTATTGGTAACGCCTAATGTATACAGAGTGGAACAGATCTATAACTCATATAACTTATGATCTACATTACTTTTTTCTTTTAATTAATTTTTACAATATTTAAAATATGTTTTGTGTTATTTTTCGAAATTACAAAAAAATTTTAAAAATTAATTTTTTTTAAGATTTTAAGATAGTCTTTTTATAGATAAATTTTAAAGAAAAATGTTGATACCAAAAACTCTTATTTTAATCTAAGGTAGTTACGTTTATAAAACATTTTGAAATTTGTTAAATTTTGATTTTTTTTTTTACAAATTTCCTATAGTATCAAATGTTAGTCCATATTATGTAAAGTTGGGATGTAAACATTATCTTATTATGTTATTTACTGGTAACGGTAAACGATTTCTTTTCCATGGATAATAATAACGTTTAACACGCTTATATTAATTTCACCTGTATGTATGTTTATAAGTTTGTTTCTAACTCTCCACACGCCACGTGTTATTATTCTTGCGTAACCCGTCGTCTATGGCCTTGAGACTAGACTGTCGTAACGCATTCACCCCACCCCGCTCACCACACGCCGGAAACACTATTCCTGTATAATTTTATTTTTGATTCTCGTACTCGTACACGTGTGCATACCATTAATATTATATATATATATATAAACAAATTTTAATTGTGACACAGTCCCGCCACTCGTGCAACATTTATCAGCCGTCGCCCCACTATGAGTATTTTTGTTTGACTAACCAATACCACGTGCCATACGCCTCACGTATATATATTTATATATTCTTCCCGCCGCTGCCGCCGTATTTGCCTCACATATAGCGTTCCCTCCGCGCAGCACCCACACACAAAATACGGCTATACCTCGTGTATGAAATATTTTCGTACTTAAGTCACTTTACATGTATATATATATATACTAATTACTATTAAAATTTATATATTAACACGTTTTATTCTTATTAAGAGATATAAAGTGTATTCATTCCAATTACGGGGCCTCAGATGATTCCCGTATCGTTATTTTTCATCACTACCTCCACGTGCCGGGAGTGGGTAATTTGCGGCCTGCTGCCTTCCTTGGATGTGGTAGCCCTTTCTCAGACTCCCTCTCCGGAATTGAACCCTGATTCCCCGTTACCCATTCCAACCATGATATTGATAGTAACTACTATCATAACTATTGAAACTAAAGAGTGAAAAATAAATATAGTTTAAAAAAACTAAAAAACACGCTTTTAAAGCACATCAAACTTAAAAGTTAAAAATAATTTTTAAAATTTTTACCATGATATGTTTTTTAGCTTCGATGCGAAGCTGATAAGGTATTGGTTTTACTAAGATGTGTTTTTTTTTTGTGTGTCTGTTACCAATTTTTCTCAGCTCTCACCGAACCGATTTCTTTCAATGATACGTCAAAAGATCACAAATCGTATCTAGTCGAAGACATTACCCTCAAAAATTGAAAAAAATTCCCTCGTTCCCCGCAAATGAGGGAAACCTCCAAAAAAATTACAAATTTAAAAATCGCTAATTTTCAAAATTTTTTCAATTTTTTTTACTTAAAAGTGCCATAACTTTTTCAAAAATGAACATATCAATATAATTCTTTTTTATATAGATGCATAATATCATTACCTTTCATTTGGTATATTTTTTTCATAAATTTAACCCTTAACCTGCCCACAAGGGGGGATTTAAAATGACAACTTTTTCACAAAAAATTAATTTTTTTAACTTAAATTTTGAAAATGTTCCGGAAGGTCTGACACTTTTATATATATCTTAAATTAAAGCTAATGTAATATACTTTATTATGGTAAAAAAAAATTTCGGACTTTATTTTATCTTCATGGTGAAAACAGACATTAAACTTAATAAAAAAAATACGATTTTTGTAAAAAAATTCTTTTTTATATTTTTAACTTTATAATGCTATAACTTCTCGAAAGATGTATGGATCAATATAATTCTTTTTTTTGTAGATGCATGATGTCTTTACCTATCATTTGGTATATTTTTTTTATAAATCTGACTTTTTACCTGCCTACAGGGGGGGATTCAAAATGACAACTTTTTCACAAAAAATTGACTTTTTCAACTTAAATTTTGAAAGTGTTCCGGAAAGTCTGACACTTTTATATATATCTTAAATTAAAGCTAATGTAATATACTTTATCATGGAAAAAAAAAATTTCGGACTTTATTTTATCTTCAAGGTGAAAATGGCTACCAAATGCTATTATTGTGTGAAAATTCTCAATTTTATTTTTTACATTTTTAACATTATAATGCTATAACTTATTGAAAAGTGTATTGATCAATATAATTTTTTTATGGGAAATACTATTTTCTAATAATCTCTTTTTTATTCTACATACTTTGTCTTAATCAGGATATTAATAAGGAACTAGCAGTTTATGAAGCTTTTGGAATAATCCACCAATTTTTTAAAATTAAACACTATCTAAAGATTTGCATCGAAGCGTTTTTTTTTGATAGTGATTTTAATCACTGTCAGATATCATTATACTTGATCCAACTATGCCACGTAACCACTGTGCCGCGACCCCCCTGTGCTGGGTTTTTTTTTTGTGTCTATTACCACTTTTCTCAGCTCTGACCGAACTGATTTCGTTCAACGATACGTCAAAAGATCACAAATTGTATCTAGTCGATGACATTACCCCCAAAAATAAACCCAACTCAACCAATCAAATTAGAAATGCATGAGACGAAGTAACGTATTAAATACATTACGAAGTAATGTATTAAATGTATCGCAAAATATAAGGTACTGAGTCAAACTTTGTATTAAGATTAATTTAATCTTAATATGATAACAAAATAAAAATCCTAGAAATAAATCCAACATTGGACTTGAGAAAAGTTTTTTAAAAATGTTCATAATCGCCAAGTGCGTCATAGTATATATGATAAAAGCCATTTACAATCAAAAGTTTTTATATATATATATATATGAATTTACTTTAATACCTTTTGGTGTCCAAATAATTAAATAACAATATTGTCTTTTTGTAATGTGCAGTTCTCCTTGTATTTGATAAAAATTATGAGAAGTACGTTTTAATACAAGATCTCCATTATTGTTGTAATGCACAAATTTTATTAAATTATTTTTAATAGCATCTTCAGGAAACATTTCTTGGGCGTTAAAAGGACATTTTATTTCAACAATACCATCTTTTCCAATTAAACCATCTGGTCGTGCCGTTAAATAGTTCAAGTGTTCATCTACAAAAGCAGCACATGATTCAATCTGTACATCCATTGTCTTTTCAAAAAGTTCTTTTGCCTTTTTCTCATTAACATTGCCATACTTAATAGCACACCTATAACGCACAACAGGAAAATTAGTATCTTATCACCAATAATTAGAATTTCAACAAAAAAATAACTTTTTCAAAATAATATTAAAAAACAGTGGAGACGTGGCATAGTTGGGTCCAGTATACATTTCATCTGACAGTGATTTTAATCACTATCACAAGAAACGCTTTGATGCAAATCTGTCATTTAACATATAGTATATAATTTTTATAGTTAATTGTTTTCAAATTATTATTGATTTTTATGATGTCATAAGTAATCATTTTAACCGACTTTTTTTTGTAAAGGTTAAAAAAAAAAATTAATTTATCATTATAACTTTTAGTTCAACTTGCAAGTTTGAAATTTACATCATTAAATAGTAAAAAATGGTATTATTAAGATTAATATGGAGTCAGAAAATTTTATAATTACTATTTACAGTAAATTTATCAGAAAAGCTCGATTTTTTTTGCATTTTTATAATAGAAAATAGATTACATAAATAGAAATCATATTAATCATTTCTAATTAACTTTTGGTGTTTAAAATGATTCCATAATTCAAATATGCAGAATTGAATTAATTTTAATGATTTACTTTAACTAAAAAAACCAATCAAAAAAAATATTGAAAAGATCTATTCAGTTGAGTGTATTATAAATTTTGATTATAATTGTAAAAATTCATTGTTGAATCGAGGTTAAATTAAAAATCATTTTTTTTAGATTTATGATTTATACAACAAAATGTTTCAAAAAAAATTTGGAATGTTATAAACTGTTAGTCCCACACACAAATAGAGTTAAAAAATTAACAAATAACTTTTGTAGTTGTATACTTTTATTATATCAAATCTAATTTGACAATAAATACTTTAAAAAATATTAGAAAAGAATAATTTAAATTGTTTTTATGAATAAAGCTGTTTAAGCTACTTTTCATTTTATTAAGGGTTTTTTTTTCAATTGTTGAGGGTAATATCTTCAATAAAACACACATTGTAATCATTTGACATATTGTTGAAATAGTAGGTTAAATGAGGGTTTGAAAAATAAATCACAGCCACAAAAATAAAACACATAGTAAAATAATATTAATATGAATAAGAAATATCTTCTCATGAGGAGGGGAGACGACAGTGATGAAATCCTAAATGAGATAAAAATCAAATTATTTGAACATTTTTTCTAACTTAAAAAAAATACAAAATATTCATTGTCACAGGCGAATTCAAACCTAGTACCCTAAGCATAAAAGACAAAAGTGTTACCGATTCGACAACTGTCCTTCGCTTTCATCGGGTAATAAAATTGATAATTTACTCTAATTCAAATTTTAAAGTTACTTTTTCGACTTTAAAAAACAAAAAATTTAAATAAATTAACTTCTTATATCTTCTGAACTTTATTCTATGTCAATTAAATTATATAATATTCATAAACGTCAGTGTACTTCCCTTGTAAGATATTTTAAAATAAAATAAAATACAAAACACAAAAATAGCATATTTTTGAAAACTGTAGCCATTTTCATCAAGAAGAAAATCTATATTTCGATTTTTTTTTTTTTCATAGTAAAGTTTATAGTATAAGCTTTAATTTAAGATAAAATAAAAGTGTCAATATTTACAGAACATTTTCAAAAATTACATTGAAAAAGCTTAACGTGTGTGCAAAAATTGATTTTTTAAATTCGTCCTGCGGGGAGGTGTAGAGTCAGATTTTCAAAAAAATTATATCAAATAAAAAAATAAATATTTAAGGTTTCAATATAAAAAAATAATTTTCATTTTTTCATTTTTCAAAAAGTTATGGCAGTTTTAAGTATTAAAATATTTCATGTTAAACATTAATATTTACATAAAAATTATATTTTTCGTTAAATTTCATGTCCATTTTCCTATAAAAGAAAAGGTGTCGGGACAAATTTTTTTTTTTGAACTTATAGCATTTATTGTAAGCTTTAATTTGACATGTATTTAAAGGACGCAGTATTTCCGAAACATTTTCAAAAGTTAAGTTGAAAAAGTTCTACTTTTTATACGTATGTTTCAAGTTTTGAACGCCCCTGTATAAAGGGCAATTGTCCAATTTAAATTAAACGTATGTTAAATGAAAGATGTATATACAATGTATTTAGAAAAAAAAATTTGTGTTGATACGTACATTTTTCTAAAAGTTATAGCAATTTAAACTTGAAAATATAAAATCGAAAATCAAAAGCTTCCGATTCTTCTCTTCTCATAACATGACAAATTATCTAAGTCTATTTTCTATCAGCTTATCCACGATTGCCGCTACACTTATACTACCTCTTATATGCTCGTTCCTTATTCTATCTTTTTTAGTCGCTCCACTAATCCATCTAAGTATTCTCATCTCTGCTACACTCATTCTCTGCTCTACTTTCTTATCAACCGCCCCCAACACTCTGAACCATACATCATAGCTGGTCTGTCTACATTGTTGTAGAATTTACCTTTCAACCTTATTGGAATTCTTTTATCACATAAGACGCCATAATCTTCTCTCCACTTCAACCCCACGCACTTAATTCTTTGTCTTACATCCTCGTCAATATCAACACTCTTTTGCACAACTGACCCTAAATACTTAAAACTCTCCACCTCTCCAATCACGTTCTCGCCTATTGTCACTGATCTCCTCATTTCATATACCTCATGTTTTCTTTTGTCAACTCAGCCAGAATTTTTGGTAATAATAAAATTAATTGTCATAAAGTGTCTAAAATTGGTCTTGTTCTAGTAAACTCAATGGTGGATAATAACTTTCATGATATAAATCTTAAAAGGTCAAATAAAGTTATAACTGTATCTTCAATAACTTCCATTGTTAAAATGAATAATGAAACAATTAAAGTAAACCCATTGCTACTATTTCAACTAATCGTTATTAAAAAAAAAAACCAGCAGTGTTCCGGCACAGTGTGTATAATTGGGTGCAGTATAGATGATATGTGACTGTGATTAAAATCATTATCAAAAAACAACGCCTTGATGCAAATCTGTAGATAGTGTTTAATTTTAAAATTTTAATGGCTTATTACAAAAGCTACATGATCTCCTATTTCCTTATTTATATCCTAAATACAAGTTATATGCATTACTAGTGCAAAGTATGCAATCATTGGAAGATTTCTCCACTATAAAGTTATTTGATGTCAATATAGCGTCAAATCAATTACCTACTCTATCGGATGTATCTTATTATACACTACACTTTAAAAATACTATAAATAAATAAATTCACACATACATTTATAACATTATGTCTAATGTAAGTACAACATGATAAAAAGTAACCGTAAAATGAATAAAATTGGAAAATAAATTTTAGTACTCATATTAAATGTAATGTAACTTGAAAAATATTTGTTTAAATGAAAAAATATAAGATACCTTTTTTGTCTAAAACTGTCTTTTAAACAACTTTTGTACAATACTTTTTTTTGTAAGTTAAATATTTTTTGAGAAAATGAAAAAAGCTCATATTTTTTTAACTTTTGCGAGGCTGTAAAAAAAAAGCTCAATTCCAATCAATGAGGACTTTTAGTATGTCATTATACATATCTTAATTCAACTTTAAAAAAAAAAAAATTTGGTTGGGAATTTTTTCGCCATTCGCCAAAATTACTCCTTCGTTGACTGACCTAATATACTTAAGTATGAAAAAAAAATTCGAACTTTACGTTGTCTTCATCGTAAAAATGGCTACCGTATTCAAAAATATGCAATATTTGTGTTAAAATTCATTTTTTGTATTTTATTTTATTTTAATATACCTTTCAAGAGGAGTATACTGATTTTTATATAAATAAATTATATAAATCTAATTGACACAGCATTTAAAGTTAAATTTAATTATATATTATTGGTTCATTTAAGTTGACAAAAATAAATTTGAAATTTGGAATCGAACTGGTGATAGCGGAGAACAAGTGGTAACAAACACAAAAAAATAAAGAAAGAAAAGAAACACATCATAATAAAATTAATACTTTCTCAGCTTCGTATCGATGCTAATATCATATTATTCTAAAATAATACTTACGGGTGATTATTTTTAGTTTCAGTGACTTCAGATTTTTTAGATCGAATACCCATTACTAGTTTGATGATTGCTTCTTTGCTTGATGTTTGTTTAAATTTACAAGCACGGTGAAAATTAGAAGCTGATAGATGTTTTCTACATTCTTTTAGCAACAAATCCTTTTTAAAGAAACGTATTGAATTTTTCTCAAATGTTTCAACATTAAATTTACTTAATTTTAAACTTTGTAGAAAATCTATTTTCTTATTTTCGTAGTCACTGTCGATAACTTCTTCCTTTTGGTTAGCTGCTCCATTAATCGTAAAATTAAAAGTTAATTAAAAAAAATAGAAATTAAATAACGGTTAATCTGTAAAAAGTTGAGATCTATATGAAAAAAAAAATTATGTAAATAAACAGTAATTTTAGTATGACCGTCGTGTATACAGTGGATTATCCAGTTGCCTTTAAGCTGCATTATTTGATGTTGGTTACTGGATGGATAGCTATGCGGGAACTTTAATAGTAACCACACCATAGCATCCTCAGTCATAATGAGTTTGCGTCAGGTTGACATTCAGTATAAATACATGTTAAAATGTAGTGTAGAATCGACCTCAAATAGTTGGAATAAAGGCTAAGAAATTGATGATGAAATAAAATGTAAAACCTTATAATTCATCAATAGGTAAAATTAAAAATGTATTATATAATATTATATATTTGAATGTTCATTAATCTTTTTTTATTAGCATACAAGAATGTTTGTATGTTTAAATTATTGTAAGAGTAACACTATTATTACACTTATTACCTTTGTTAACTAGGATGTGAGAAATATTGTCCATTTTTATTACGCAAGGAATGTTTATCTTCGACAGTAAATTTTTCACATAAAGTTTAACATTTTTTCTATTTGAAAATTGATTACTTTTTTTTTGAAAAGTATTAAATGTGAAAGAAGTAAATAATTTCCAAAATTCATTAGTGTTTTTACAATTGTCGCAAAATTCATTCATTGAAGACAGTAATGCAGTATTATCTAAGTATTCTAAACTGATTTCAAATGTATCCTTCTTTTGTTGATTAAGTCTAGCTATATCAATAACTCTCTTTGCAAAATTATATTGCCAGGGATTAACAACAAACTTACCATAAGTAAAAAATGAAATTATTCTAATTACGTAGTTACTTACATGTTGATAATTTATTTTAAAAATATGATAAGGATTTAAATTTTTAGTTCTAATATCATATTTTAATATTTCTAAAATATGAAGACATAAAAATGTATGAAAACACTGTAACGACTCCAATTCTTTTTTTAATTTGTTTAAGCTTGACACTTTTTTTTGTCTACACTCATAATTACAGGATCTTGATAACAACTTAATATCATCTTGATTTATAAGCGAATGATTAATAAATCCTTCATTTTTTCGACAGACCAATGATATGATATCATTATTAATAGTAATTACAGCTTGTAAAAAAGAATCATCAAATATGGTGTCATAATCAGGTGGCTAAAATCATTATATAAATGTTTGACAGAAAGTAAAAGTAATAATTATAAAACAAGTAGTTTATGGTTTAAATTAATTTTAAATAAGGCATATAATAAAATGATCTAAAAATACCAAAGAATTTTTTATTTTTGGAAAATTAATACAAATTATTCAATTTTCCCATAGGTAGTCATTGACAATTTATCTTCGGATTCTTTCGTATCTTAAATTATTTTTTATTTTTAATATTTCTCATTAGGTTAATGAGAAAAATTGGGCTAGAGAAGGTATCCTGAATTTCGTATTATCGTATTATCTTGTTGTGGTTAATACTTATTTTAGGAAGAGGGAAGAACATTATATTACTTATAAGAATTGGAGTTATAGATCACAAAGCGATTATTTTATGTGGAGGAGAGACAGTATAACTACACAATATAAACTAATGATAATAGAATTGCGGTGTAATGGAAAGAGAGTATATAAAAACAGAAAGAACACAAGAGGAGAATTAAAGATCCAGTAATGAAAACGGTGAGTGTAAAGCGAGTAAAAGATACTTCAGCTATTCCAAGAAATGAGGAGATCAGTGACAATATGCGAAGGCATGATGGGAGATGTGAAAAGTTTTAAGTATTTAGGATCAGTTTTGCAAAGAAACGGTGGTATTGATGAGGATGTAAGACACAGGATTAAGTATGGGTGAATAAAGTGGAGAGATGTGTCTGGTATGTTAAGAGATAATTGAATTCTAATTAGGCTGTAAGGTAAGTTCTATAATACTGTAGTGAGATCAGCTATGATGTATGGTTCAGAATGTTGAGCAGTTTCCCTTCTAATAAGATTTTATTCAAAAGTTCCTACAACCACCTTATGTCAACATCACGTAATATTTTCCATACTTCTACTGGCACTTCATCTGGTCCCCCACTGCTTCATTCTTTTTCATTGATGTCACAACCTCTCATACCTCTTTCTCACTAATTAAATCTACTAGTCCCTCATTCCACATTAAATATAAATATAAACATATTTTAATTATTTTATCTCGTCAAAGTTAAGAAAAGCTACTTTGAATTTTTGAATTAGCTTAAATTTTTTTTTTTTTATCTATGAATCCGTATAATGTACCGTGGCTGCGTTGTGTATTAAATAGTCTTATAAAGATTTTCCATAGTAATGAGTCAGCCAATAAATACAAAATACATGAATCTAACTTATATTACATATAAATTTATACAAAAAGCTTATTTGAATTTTTGAAAATTATTTATAATAATTTTTAGTTATAAATTAATATTTTTGATATAGTTTTAATTATAAATAATTTTTATTTGAAAAGAACTATGGTTAACATTTGATATTTATGTTCTAATGATTTCAAGTTCGATAATATTTCTTTATAATTATTCGTGGTATACTGTAAAAAATATGAATGCAAAATATATTTTTAGTTATGTTCATTCTATATATTCCATGGTTTGAACGAACATTTTCATTTTAAAATCCTTTAATTTGTTAAAGATCATTAACGGTTAACATTTTGAAATAGTTTTTGTACTTACTTGTATTTCTGAGCTAGAATTTACATTGAAAAATACTTGTGATGACGTAAGAATAACAGATAAACATCATATTAAGTTCAATGAATCAAAATTTTTTGCAATCATTTTTTTAAATAATCAAAATTTACGTTATTTGTATTAAAGTCTTACAAAAATTAATTTTAATCAGTCTCTATTTAAATGAATTATTACTAACTATTTAGCGTTTTAATAAAAATATATACTAATTTTATTTTAAAAACTTTTTAAATTAAATAACATATATTATCTTAATTTACTTTAACCTTATTTAATAATGCTGATAAAATTATCGACTAACTTATAACGTAGCAAAAATATGATGTGTAAGTTCATAGGTTACTATATTTCAATAAAACACATCAAATATAAACATACCTATTTTCCTGTTTCAAGATACCTTACTTTAAAGTAATTTTATATTTCTTTTATGCTGACGCATTTTATTCGAATGCTTCTTATCAATACATGTCAATAGTAATATTAGTTACTCTTTGTTACTAACTTCAGTTACATTATTTGTGGAGACTTAAACGCCTGATGCCGCCATCGTATTTCAATTTTTAATTATGAACTCTAATTTACTTAATGATTCAAAATTAAAAAGCGACACTCCTGTTAAGAGTTCACTTCTAATCGCCTATTAAAAACTAAATCTAGTTCGTTCTTGGCCCCTATTTTAAATGATGATATTCTTAAAACTCTATAAATTCCTTGCAAAAAAACAGGATCAAATGATTAAGCAAAGCTAGTTTTATGCTTGAAAGGATACAAATATTATATATATAAAAAAAAAGAAAATCGAAATAATTGGCCGCAACGAAAAATTTGTAACTTTTAAGGCGCATTGAAAAATTAAAAAGAAAAAGGCGCCAACCCACTGAGCGAGACAAAGGTTTGTCGAACCACAGTAGGATATTAAAAAGAAATTAAATTTTTATATTAAAAACAATTTTAAAGTAAATAGAAAAGAATTAAAGATTGAAGTCGATATCTGTTGAGTCGTTGATAGTAGATGTACACCATAACCTCGTGACAGTTGTCACATAACTATAATAATAAGGGATAACATTATACAAGGCCGTTGCCGTACAAAAATAAAAAATACACGAGTCCATTGAAGATGAACACGCAAAAATAAAATAAGATGATAGTTAAGTTAAATTAAAGGGACTTTATTAAAAAAAAACCAGCACAGGGGGGTCGCGGCACAGTGGTGACGTGGCATTGATGGATCAAGTATAATACCTGACAGTGATTAAAATAACTATAAAAAAAAAACGCTTCGATGCAAATCTTTAGATAGTGTTTAATTTTAAACAATTTTCACCGTGAAGATAAAATAAAGTGCAAAATTTAAGTTGAAAAAGTAAATTTTTTGTGAAAAAGTTGTCATTTTAAATCCCCCCTGTGGGCAGGTAAAGGGTCAGATATGAAAAAAAATATATACCAAATGATAGGTAAAGACATCATGCATCTATAAAAAAAAGAATTATATTGATCCATACATCATTCAAAAAGTTATAGCATTATAAAATTAAAAATGTAAAAAATAAAATTGAAAATTTTCACACAAAAATAGCATTTGGTAGCCATTTTTACCGTGAAGATAAAATAAAGTCCGAAATTTTTTTTTTTCATGATAAAGTATATTACATACGCTTTAATTTAAGATATATATAAAAGTGTCAGACCTTCCAAAACATTTTCAAAAATCAAGTTAAAAAAATTATTTTGTGAAAAAGTTGTCATTTTAAATTCCTCCTCTATGGGCAGATAAAGGGTCAAATTTACAAAAAAAATATATCAAATGAAAGGTAATGATATCATGCATCTATAAAAAACGAATTATATTGATTCGATTATTTTTAAAAAAGTTATAGCAATTTTAATTAAAAAAAATTTTAAAAATTTCGAAAATTAGCTTTTTTTAAATTTGTAATTTTTTTGGAACGAGGGAATTTTTTTCAATTTTTGAGGGTAATGTCTTCGACTAGATACGATTTGTGATCTTTTGACGTATCATTGAAAGAAATCGGTTCGGTGAGAGCTGAGAAAAATTGGTAACAGACACACAAAAAAAAAACACATCTTAGTAAAACCAATACCTTATCAGCTTCGCATCGAAGCTAATATTCTAAGTTTAAAAATTTTTTAAAAAAACCAAGTGCCCAAGAGTTTTAAAAACTTTTTAGTTTATACAGAGTGATTTTTTTATCGTATCCCACTCAAATACTTACAGAATAATAATTTAAACATTTTTTTTTTTTTTGATTATCTTTCAAATTTTTGAGTTAATATACATTTATAATACACAAGGGATTACAAATACAGGTAACTAATTGGTTTTTTATGACATTGCTGTCACAATCTAGGATTTTTTATAATTAATTATGACTATCAATAGATATCCTTTTTGCATTGTCAGTTAATGTATTTATATACTCACAACAATGTGTCTTACTACCATTGATAATAACAATGGTGTGTAGCTTCTAATATCGATGTATAAAAAATCAATTAGCTACCAGTATTTGTAATCCTTTGTGTATTATACATGTATATTAACTCAAAAATTTGAAACTGTAAATGTTTATATCTAATAAACAAATAAAGTTGTACTAAAAGTTCAAATGCCATTTGCTATTAAATTGAAAAATTCAAACAATTTATTAAATTTAAAATATGTATTCCAATTAAAAAAAACAAAGTTGACACCCTTATCAGGCATAAGGGATGAACTTAAAAAATATTACATAGTTAATAATCCAAGAATAATGTGTAACTATAGATAATCAAAAAAAAAAATGTTTAAATTATTATTATTCTGTAAGTAATTGAGTGGGTTATGATAAAAAAATTATCTGTATATTTAAGATAGTTAATAATCTAAAACAATCAATTCATATATGATAACAGTAACATATATTAATTATGAATTGAACAGAAAATTAAATTGTCATAAAATACATATTTTACAAATTAAGGGTCACAATAAACAAATTCGTTAAAATGAGTCAATACCCATATTAAAACCATGCGCGTAGACTTAAAAAAAAAAAGCTCGTAAGACAATGAAAAATAAACGGATTGAATTGATTTTTTATAATATCTCAGAAATGTAATTAGGCGAGTTTGGTGAAAATTTCAAATTTTAAGTCGTAAAACGCTGGCATCAGCGACAGTTTTTCTCAAAAACAGACGTTTTAAAATGCTCGTGGCAAAAATTTTCTGACCTTTGCCAATAATTTTTTCAAAAAAAAACGTTTTATTTCTTGTTTTATTATATAATAAGATATATAATTGCAGAAATGATTGTTACTGAACGACAAAAAAAACTGTTGTAATTGTATTTTTTCATGGATATGATTTACTGATCATACTATAATATGCAAATAATTTACAAAATATTTACAAAATATTTTTCTTTAACTTATTAAATAATGAATAATAATTTAAATTCAACTAGACGTAAAAACTTTTAAACTATTATACTTTTAAAAATTACATTATTATGATTATTAAAAAAATGAAAAATCATCAAAAAAGTATTATTATTACAGAACACTAATATTAATATTAAATTCAATTAATAAAATAGCATTATCTTAATTGAGACCTCTTTTTGTGTTTTAGTTATATTTCCACTTCAGTTTTGTTTGTATCTGTAAATTCAGATGTATAAAATTCATTTACAACTCGACAAAATTTTTCATAATGTGTTTTATGCATTTCATGATGAGCATTTACAATTTTTACTAACCTGAAAAAAATGTTGAACAAACTTTTTAGTGTGCATTTTTTTTGCCTAAATAAAAGTACACTACTTTCAAATGTACAATAGTACCAAGGTTTATTTACTTGGAATAGTTCAAATTGTTGTGAACATAATTTACATGATGATCACCCACATAACCATCGGCAGTACCATATATAAGAAGAACAGGTACTCTAATTCGTTGTAATTGATCCATAGTTATGAAAAATCCATTATTATTTTCATAAATATATCTGTAAGCTTTACATAGACCATCCCAAACTTTATTAAAATATTCTACACCACATCTATCAAATAAAGTCTTAATAATTTCAGGACGCCATGCTGCATGATTGGTAAATTTTTTAGTAAGATTTATATCTTTCTCATTTATTTTTGTTCTTGCACCCCATTCGACAACTTTAAGGACACGATTAGGTACCAGAGACGCTATGTGTAACGCCACAGTACCTCCATAACACCAACCCATGACTGAATATTTATTGATGTTTAGTGTCTGGAAAAAATGTATAACTATTTATAAAGAAAAAAATTATTTAACTACATATATGACTTTTAATTTAATTTAAACAAAAATTACTTCCATAAACACAATTAAATATTTAGCATCTCTTTCAATAAATCCTGGAGAGTAATCTCTATCTGGTGGTCTGCATACTCCGAAACCTGGTAAATCTGTCTCGATAAATGTATACAACCCTTTTGTGACAAGTTCATCAGTAATAGTTTGAAATTCTTTAGCTTTTACCTCACCTAAGTTACCCAAAAGAATAGTTTAACGAATCCATTACTTTTTGTTCATAAAATTAATTAGCTAGAGTAAACTAATTATTCTTAACAATTATGTTATTAAGGAATGTTATTAATTAGAACTATTATTTATAGCACCACTTAAAAGTTGATAATAATTAATACAAGAAATTTGTAGCATTTGCATCTTTTTTCATAAATTTAGTGCAGTATTACTCAATCTTTTTATGATGATGACCTTTTAATTGGAGTTTCAATTTGTTAGCAAACCTCACAATAGGATATATCTTATACAGATTTTATTTTGGAGAACTTAAAAATTCATTTGTATCCACAGATTAAAAAATGCTTTTCTAGTGTATAGCTCATTATAAAAACATAATAAGAATATTCAAATTGCAATAAAAATACAACAAAATATTACTATTAATATTTTAGACCTTAATACAGTAGAGAATAAATAGTAATAAATTTGAACTACACAAATATAGAAAATTTACACAAACAGATACTATCATAACTATGGACTCTAACCATTTTGTTTTCATAAAAAGGATGGTTTTTATAATTCTTCAGAGCTATGCGCCATAGACCAGAAAATATACCTTTAAACTATATTACAATACTGAACTTAATACAATGAGAACTATTTAACTAAATATAATTTTAAAAAAAATCATAATAAAATTAAAAATAAAAACATTTATATTGAGAAAAATAACATTACATACATTATATAATACAAATATTATTAATTTAAAACTAAAAAAATTTAATTTAAAAAGCCACGAAAATATTACTGAAAAAATCGCGGATACGTATTTTATATAAAGATAGGGGTACTAGGGGTAGTGACGTTATCACTAAATAATATTGTGAAATTTTGCCGGTTTACACAAGTTTAATAATAAATTTTTCAGTTGACCAAATTACCAATTAATTAAATTGTTCTTGTTTTTTAAACATTTCTATTGCCACCCTTATATTAAGTTTTTTGTAACTATTTACATTTGTAATTAGTATAATGGTTTTAGTGATGTTAATATGTGTCATTAAAGGCATTCAAGTACATTCCGAACAATTGAAACCATAGCTGGCAACACAAAATGGCTGTTTTTAATAGTATTGTTTACAGGTTAATTACTATTCCGATGAATAAAATAGATTTTAACACAGACCTAGTGGTTATAAAAGAAACAGTTTGATTTAATGGGTATAACGAAAATGTAATTTCTGAAATTAGTCCGAACATAAAAGTGGAATAAAGAAATGAGGGAAAAAATTTCCCTCGATTTCCGTAAATAGAGGAAATCTCCAAAAAAAATTACAAATTTAAAAATCGCTAATTATCGACATTTTTTCAATTTTTTTTACTTAAAATTGCCATACATTTTTTTGATTATTTTTAATATATTAAAAATCAAAATCTAAAATAATTTAAAAACAATTTTTTTTTGTTTTTAATTATTTTTTTATCGTACTAAATCTTTTCAAAAGAAATATTAATAATTTCTATGTAACTCTTGGTGTTTAAATATATGATACAATTGAAATATGCAGAACTATTTTTCTTATAGTTATATCCTATATTTTTTAACTAATTAGTAAAAATATCAAAAATTATTGTTGATAGAAAAAATATAATTATGATTTTAAAGTAGCATTGACGTTCAATTGTAAAATGATGCAGATGTTTTCTATATTTGAGTGAATAAGCATTTTACTAAGTATATTTTAATAGACTTATTTACCGAATACTTTAAATTTAACCGAAAATAATAATTGTGTATTTTTATTTTAAACAAAGAGAAGAGCATTATTTACTAGTATAAAAAAAGAAAATGTTTATTTTTCTGCAATCGCATTGTTCATAAAAATCAGTAGTATAGTTTCAGCGTGGTATAGTTGGGACTAGTATAGATGATATCTGACAGTAATTAAAATCACTATCATAAGAATCGCATCGATGCAAATCTGTAGATAGTTTAATTTAAATAAATTGAGTATTATTCAAAAGTAAAATTCTAAATCAAAAAGAATTAAGGTAAAATTGCAAAAAAATCATTGCCACAGGAAATTATTTTTACTGAATCGACAAACGTTCGTCGCATTCGTTTTTTGATCAAATTGACAATTTAAGCTAATTCAAATGTTAAAATTAATTTTTTCATCTTAAAAGAAAAAAAAATTGAAATATGTTTAACTTTATATTCTATGTCAATTATTTTTATATAATATTCATGAAAATCAGTTTACCCCATTATAAGGTATATTAAAATAAATTAAAATATAATACCAAAAATTTTAACACCAACATTGCATGTTTTTTGTCGGGACAAATTTTTTTTTTTAACTTATCGTGCATTACATTATCTTTATTTTAATATATGTTTGAAGCTCGGAATATTTCCGCAACATTTTCATAAGTTAAGTTGAAAAAGTTCTACTTTTAACTCGTATTCTTAAAAATTTAATAAAGAGAAATGTTCCGATTTACAAAAAAAGTATATCGTATGAAAAGTATATATATATAATTTATTTAAAAGCAAAAATTTGTATTGATCCATACATTTTTCTCAGCTTCACATCAAAGCTAAAATTATTTTTCCAAAATGTTTCAACTAACTTTATTTTCTTTACTTTGTACATATGGTATTATTAGAGTAACGGCCACGTGGGTTTCTGAATTAAATAATTTGGTGCAACACCCAGCGTGAAGAAATTTAACAACGCATCAAAATGTTAATCAATTTATATTCCTTGGTAAGAATTTTGAAGATAATATAGAAAAGTTTACTTTAAGTAGAATTTTCCCACGTGATTCTCGGACAATAATCTTATTACAGAACAGAATTTTATCGATAAGTACGGCAATTTCATGATATCTGACAATGATTAAAATCACTATAAAAAAAAAACGCTTCGATGCAAATCTTTAGATAGTGTTTAAATATAAAAAATTGGTGGATTATTCCAAAAGCTACATAATCTGCTAGTTCCTAATTAATATCTTGATTAAGATAAAGTATGTTGAATGAAAAAGGGATTACTAAAAAATATTATTCCTCATAAAAAAATTGTGTTGATTCATACACTTTTCAATAATTTATAGCATAATAAAGTAAAAAATGTAAAATATAAAATCGAGAATTTTCACACAAAAATAGCATTCGGTAGCCATTTTCACCACGAAGACAAGTCCAGAGGTCAAATTTTTTTTCTCATAATAAAGTACATTATATTAGCTTCAATTTAAGATATATATAAAAGTGTCAGACATTCCGGAACACTTTCAAAAGTTAAGTTGAAAAATTTCTACTTTCTATATGCATTTTTCAGATTTGATGCCCTCTCGTATATAGGGAAATGGTCTGATTTAAAAAAAAAATACACCAAATGAATGGTAATGATATCATGAATCTATTTAAAAATAATAATAAGGATGGTAATAAGAGAAACAATTTATTCTAAAAATTTATATAATTTCATCATTTAACAATCATAAAATAATCATACATTTTATTTTATTTTTTAATATAAAAAATATTTAATTGGCATAAACCACTAAAAAATAAAATAATTTGTTAAAAATAAATAAAATTTCCAAAATTTTAAAAATCTTAGCGTAATACTTTGATTTTTTAGACTTCAATGATTAACAAATTGAATTAAAAAATAAAAAAGTTAATAAGAAACTACATAAAATATGTTTAGAATTAAACTGAAGAAATGTACTACTATATTTGAGGCTGGAGAACGAATTATGGGTATTGCAGTATTGTATGATCTTGCTGTGGTTAATACTTATTTTAGAAAGATAGAAGAACATTATATAAAGTAATTTTTTTGCATTCAAATTTATAAAGCATTATTAGTCAAAAGTAAATAATTTTTGCATGTTTTAATAATTTTAATAACACAATTTAATGCATATTTCAATTTTTTTTTTTTATGATTAAATGCACATAATGTTACGAGATAATTGAATTCCAATTAGGCTGTAAGGTAATTATATAATACTATAGTGAGTTCAACTATGATGTACGGTTCAGAATGTTGAGCGGTTGACAAGAGAATAGAGCAATGATGAGAATGCTTAGATGGATGAGTGGAGTGACTAGAGAAGATAGGATAAGGAATGAATATATAAGAAGGAATATAGCTGTAGCGTGAATCGTGGATAAGATGAGAGAAAATAGACTTAGATGGTTTTGTCATGTTATGAGAATAGAGGAAACGGGAGCTGTAAAAACAGTTGTAGAAATGAATATTGAAGGAAGAAGAGGTAAAGGAAGACCAAAAAAGAGATGGAGGGGTGTAATTGAATCCGATATGAGGACTACTGATGTGAGCGTAGATGATTTACGAGATCGTGTCAATTGAAAGTTTAGGATAAGGGTGGCCGACCTCATGTAGTTGCGATTAAGGCGAGGAAAACAAGAAGAAAATTTACTACTACATTTGCAAATAATTAGAAAATAAAAGAAGATTGCAATTGTGCAATATGTTAACTTACACATGTTTTGATTGTGTAAAAATTAATGTTGGTGTTATACATTTTTTTGGAAAAATATATCAGATTATACACGTTGTATTTATTTGTTTATTAATACTCCAATAGAACAAGAAGAAAAAGATAATTATTATACAAATATTATGAATTAAAAATGAATGTACCAAAATGACTTTTTTTTAATAGAAACTATGGATATTTTCCTTTCATTTTTTTGAAATTCTAATCCGTTACCCCCACTCACAGAGAAGAATTGAAAATAACAACTTTTTTAACTTTTGAAAATGTTCCGGAAATACTGCGTTCTTTAAATTTATGTTAAATTAAAGCTAATGTAACATATTAAAAATTTAAAAAAAAAATTGTCACAACGACTTATCATCTATGTGCTAATGGCTGCCGTAGTTAAAAACATGCTACTTTTGTGTTAAAATTTTCGATTTTATATTTCAAATTTAAATTGCTATAACTTTTTGAAAAATATATAGATCAAAATAAAATTTTTTTTTCTAAACAGTTTATACATAATTTTTTCATCCAACATACATATATTATTTTTTTTATACCTGACAATTTCCCCTTAAATAAGGGTCGTTCAAATCTTGAAAATACGTTTAAAGTAGAACTTTTCAATTTAACTTTTAAAAATGTTCCGGGAAATCTGTATTTTTAAATATATGTTAAAGTAAATCTTATTTCATTTACCAGAAGTTCAAAAAAAATTTGTACCGACGACCTAAATTCTTGTGCAAATGGCAGTCAAAGTAGTATAAAAAATAGGTGTTGTTTTTGTTTTTCAAATAATCCACTAATTTCTTAAAATTAAACACTATCTACAGATGTGCATCGAAGCGTTTCTTATGATAGTGATTTTAATCAATGTCAGGTATCATCTATGCTAGTCCCTACTATGCCACGTCCATATTGTGCCACCATCCCACTGTGCTACCTTTTTTTTATCATATTGTAACCTAATGAGAATTATTGTGTAATTATTAATAGTAACCTCAAAATTACCTATAAAAAGGTTTTTAAAGCTTTTCTCTAATTACTTAACTTAATAAGTTTTCTTAAAATATTAGATTACCATTAGTATTGAAAATATTTTGTAGTTTAACATAGGAATATTCTTTTCCAAAATTATAAGATACTAAGAAAAAAATATTTAGATACTTATTATCTTTCATACTTACATACATGATGTTAATTCAAATTTAATCTCATAAAAAATTATAAAAATATTGTTTATGTTCAAATGTAAAATCAACCACTCCTCTTCCATTTTAACAATTTATATACATAGTGATACTTTAGACTACATTCACTCTATTTCTCAAAAATAAAATTGTATCAAGAAAAATTATTTTTTAGTATAATATACTTTTTGATTTTTCAATAATTAATAACTTTGTCCATATAACACTTATATTTTATAAGGATGACAAATTAATTTTTTTAATTGACAATATACATCTTTAACTAGTTTATAAAATAAAATATGATTTAATTAAAATAACAGTTAATATTAAAAAAAATGTTTAATTTTCAAAATAATGGGTATAAAATTATAATTTAGATCATTTTTTATTTTCATATATTTCTTCATTTATATGTTATTATTTAGTTTTCTAATTCATCTCTTATAAGGTATGAATTAAAAATAAAATTAATAACTGATCAATTAAGTAATGTATGAAACTAAAAAATAATTTTCTTCATTATTATTGTTTTAAGAGACATTGAGCGACCAGTGTTAAAATCATGACTTGTATAATTTATTCTATTTTTTATCAGTGGGATATTTACAAGGGGAAACAAATAGGACAACTGACCCAATCTCATTTTTAATAGTATTTTTTGCTTATTGATATTGTTTATTATATTAAATGAACAAAAATAATCATTTGTAAAATTTTGTTTTAACAATCACACAAAAAAACTAATAAGAGATATTAATTTTAAGTCTTAGATTTAAACTACTATGGTAAGAATATTTTAAGGTAGATCATAAATTATGAACAAGCTTAAATATTTTTAAAAGTTAATTGATAACTTTAATTTTGTTAAAACAAAAATTGAATTTAATGTCATGTTACAATGGATGAAATAAATATTATGTTATTATTAATATATTTTTATTCATTTTTGTTTAAAACTAATAGTTCTGGTAAATTTTTAAAATTTTATTTTTATAAAATACTTCTTATGGGCATATTATGTTTTATAAAAAAAAAGTAAGTTAATGTATATTGAAAATTGTTAATTTTAATAAAAAAAAATTTGTGTTATCCATTTATCTATTTTCTTATGTTATTACTTCTTTATCATTTTAAATAACATCAAAGTACATTTACTTTATTCTTAAAGTGTGAAAGTAAAAAAAAAAATGTTATCAAATTTAACTAATAAAATTATAGGTGATGACAAAAATATACTTCAAATCTAATATATTGAAGGTTGTCCCTTTCCCCATAACCCTAAAATCATGTACGTACCACTACTTAGAGACAAGTTGATGAAAATGTTTAAGTTCTAATCACTAAAAAAAATCAATAAATAAATCTTTTCTATTATAAAGAATAATTACCATATGTCCCTCCTATCAAAAGTATTATTTGTGGTCCTGTCCCAATTTTCCGGTATATTGAATGAAATATTTTTCCATTTACATTAAGTTCAATTGTTTTAAAGTAATCCATCTGAAAAATATATAAAACATTTAACCAAGAATCAGCTAGTAAATAGTAGCTTATCACTTTAATTTAAGAACTCTATGACAAAATTAGAAAAAAAATTATCATTTTCCTCATTTTTCTTTGTTATTAATGGGGAGTTAACTGTAACTAAAAGTTAACTATTAATAAAGTTATAATGAAAAGTTAAATATTTTCTTAATTATTGCCAAAAGTAAGGTCATTAACTATAATTGAAAAAATTGTTATATTTTATTTACTTCAAATAATAACATAATTATCTATAAAGAATTATAAAATCACATAAAACATTTAATACTACTAATATATTATTGAAATATAATAGTAATACGTATTAAAAAAATATTTAGGATTTATACGAAAACTTAACAAAAAAATGAATACTCTCAAAAAAAAAAAAATTTTTTTTCTAAATAATTGGTTGAAAATAAATTAGTTACAATTTAAACATATTATCTTGAACATCAAATAATAATATTGTAAATGTTTTTATATTGTCATACCTGTTGATTTTCCATACTTTGCCTATTGATGCAACAGTCAATTAATTTTTAATAAAATTTTAAAATATAAAATAGGTTTAAAATTTATGTAAAAATCTTTCCTAAATCTTGAAATAGCAGGTAGGTTCTAATTTGTATCAAGCAACAGTAGTAGCTCGTTCATGAATTTAGAACTTTAGTTAAGTACAATCAAAAATACCTTAAAAATAAAAATCCTTTAAATGGAAAAATGTTTCATTATAATGTTATCATTTTAATACCTAACAGACAAGTCCGGTCACCCATGACCAAAACTATTTATAAAGTACTTCTCATCATACAATATTCTGATAACCGGTTTACCCCCCTCTATACCCTTTAAAACGAATGGTTTTAGTCGACATGCCATCGTTCATCTTCCTTTGAAACAAGTTTGAAAATGAATATTGAATAACTATTAAAAATAAGCTTATCTGAGACTGTAGTTTTGCTTGAAATAAATCGTAGCCTCGGCCGATATGAATTTTGTAGAAAATTAGCAATTAATCGCAAATGCACTTCAAACTGCAATAAATGCCAACAAAATCTATGCGCCCAGCACAGACTCAGCATATGTTAAACACGTAACAAAAAATGTCAGTTACCCCTAGAAAAAAACTGTGGACTTTAAATAAAAATTACACAAGATTTATTTTTATTATTTGCACTAGTTATTACTACATAAGTTATTTGTTTTTGTTATTTTCATATGTTGTTACGCGAGTTTTATTTTTATTCAAATCAAATAGTGTCTAAATTTTTTTATTACCAAAATTAAAAAGTTTATAAATAAACTTAAAAAGTTTTGTTTATTTCATATTTGACCTTATAAACATTTTTACACGGGTATATAATCACAATAAAAACATTTATGTACAAAAAAAGTATTAAATAGTTATAAAAATTAATAAAAAATACTTGAGTCACCCGTGTCTCCTGTAAAATTAGTCTTACCTGTCAGGTTAAATTAAATTGTTTGCCTTATTCTAGTATATATTTACTTATTATGAATATTATTGCTCAAATTTTAATGTTTATATTTGAGTGGATATTTTAAGGGTATTAATAATGTATGAGAATCATTCTAATCTAAAACTACGACATTTAAAAATCACCAACTTATTGTTAAATAGAACTCTATAAAATTATATATTTCTGTTGCTATTAACTTAAATTTAAAATGCTTAACGTGGATTCTCGGCTATATGAGCAAATGAGTGTATAAATGTATGACCTCAAGGGCAATAAATCTTTTTTAACACGCTTATTATTAGTTTCACCTGTATGTATGTATGTTTGTAACTCTCCAAGCGCCACGCGTTATGGCATATGCCGTCGTCTATGGCCTTGAGATAAGACTGTCATAACACATTTACCCCACCCCACGCCTCGCTCACCACACGACAGCCACACTATTCCTGTATAAATTTATTTTTGGTTATCGTACCCGTACACGCGTACTTGTCATCAATATTATATATATGTAAACAAATTTTTATTTTGACTGACCAATACCATCCGCGTGTCGTCATACGGCTTACTGAACACCCTGTATATTCCTACCGCTGTTTATACCTCAGGTATAACTTTAGTCCGACCCGCCCGCCCACAAAACACGGCTATACCTAGTGCATGATACGTTTACGTACTTAAGTCGCATTATTTGTATATATATATATTCTAATTATTATTAAAATTTATATATTAACACGCTTTATTCTAATTAAGAGATATAAAGTATTCATTCCGATTACAAGGGATGATTTCCGTATCGTCATTTTTCGTTTCGGGAGTGAGTAATTTGCGCGCCTGCTGCTTTTCTTGGATGTGGTAGCCCTTTCTCAGACTCCCTCTCCGGAATCGAACTCTGATTTCCCGTTACCCGTAACAATCAAGATATTGATAGTAACTACTATCATAGCATAAAACTAAAAAGTGAAAAATAAATATATATTTTTTTAACTATATTTATTTGTTTCTTATTGATACTCGCGTCCAATAAAGTTAAACAATATTTTCGGTAATAATAGTCTACGGCCAATCAGTTACTAGATATAAATATGCCACTATTCTAATGACTTGTTGTATCATGAGAAAATACTGATTTCATAATTTTTTTTAATATGTAAAAAACAATGGCAACACTTTAGGAGGTACTAGGAGAGGTTAGATTTACAAATTATAACTCTCATAGATGCTTAATTTGCTGATAAAGATGTGTATAATTTTACATAATATATATATATATATTATAATATATGTAGCAAGTTATAAAAAATTCAATTCAAATTAAAAATCAAAATTCAGTTATTTATACTCAATATTTTTATATTTTTCTTTGACAACCATTATCACCAAGAAGATAAGCATATGCGCAACCTAAATGAAATGTTTGGAGGATATATCTTAATTTTTCCATTCTTTAAAATATTTCTATTTATTATTACTATTAAATAAAACTATTTACTATTTATATAAATAATAATAAAAAAAAAGATAGATGTTTATAATAATACCAAAAGATAATTGTACTAAACAAAGAACTTTTTATAAATTTATAGTCATTTTAATTTGAAACGTTGGCGAAGGTGAACTAGTTAATTATAAAGTTTCAACAAAAAGTATTTTATACTTCAACAAAACCTTTTTTTAATTTAAATTTGGCTACAATATGCAACTGTTGCGTAGCTGCATCATCAATACTACAAACACGGTAAAGTGAACTTATAACTTATAATATTTCAAAACCATAGGTAGAAGTATAATTAAGTTAATATAAGTAAAATAAGAGTTAAATTTGTAAAAATAATTATGATATACAAACATTAAAAAAACAAATTATCATAATTAACTTTAATTATTAGCTATTAAAATTTAACATAAAATTAAAATAATAAAATTTTTAAAAATTATTTTATTTATATACAATAATTGAGACTCAACACTTGTTATTATTATCAGCCATAATTGTTTTATTTGTATTGTATGTTTATAGTATAATAAAAAAACCCAGCACAGGGGGGTCGCGGCACAGTGGTGAAGTGGCATAGTTGATTCAAGTATAATGATATCTGACAGTGATTAAAATCACTATCAAAAATAAACGCTTCGATGCAAATCTTTAGATAGTGTTTAATTTTAAAAAAATTGGTGTTTTATTACAAAAGCTACTTGATCTGCTGGTTTCTTATTAATATCCTGATTAAGATAAAGTATGTCGAATGAAAAAGGGTTTATTAAAAATATTATTTCTNAAAGTATATCCAATGAAAGATGTATATAAATACTACTTCTCATGAAAAAATTGTATTGATCCATACATTTTTTAAAATATAGCATTATAAAGTTAAATATAATATAAATAATAAAATCGAGAATTTTCACACAAAAATAGCATTTGATAGCCATTTTCAAATTTTTCAAATCAGAAGTCAAATTTTTTTTTTTCAAATTAAAGTATATTACATTAGCTTTAATTTAAGATATATATAAAAGTGTCAGACCTTCCGGAACATTTTCAAAAGTTATGTTGAAAAAGTAAATTTGTTGTGAAAAAGTTGTCATTTTAAATCCCCCCTGTGGGCAGGTAAAGGGTCACATATAAAAAAAAAAATATACCAAATGATAGGTAAAGACATCAAGCATCTATAAAAAAAAGAATTATATTGATCCATACATCATTCAAAAAGTTATAGCATTATAAAATTAAAAATGTAAAAAATAAAATTGAAAATTTTCACACAAAAATAGCATTTGGTAGCCATTTTTACCGTGAAGATAAAATAAAGTCCGAAATTTTTTTTTTTCATGATAAAGTATATTACATACGCTTTAATTTAAGATATATATAAAAGTGTCAGACCTTCCAAAACATTTTCAAAAATCAAGTTAAAAATATTATTTTGTGAAAAAGTCTATAAAAAAAAAAATTATATTGATATGTTCATTTTTGAAAAAGTTACGGCAGTTTTTAGTAAAAAAAATTGAAAAAATTTCGAAAATTAGCGATTTTTAAATTTGTAATTTTTTTGGAGGTTTCCCCTATTTACGGGGAACGAGGGAAATTTTTTCAATTTTGAAGGGTAATGTCTTCGACTAGATACGATTTGTGATCTTTTGACGTATCGTTGAAAGAAATCCGTTCGGTGAGAGCTGAGAAAAAGTGGTAACAGACACAAAAAAAAACACATCATAGTAAAACCAATACCTTCTCAGCTTCGCATCGAAGCTAAAATGTTATGCTTAAAAGTATCACTTTGAATAAGAATAAGTAAAGCTTTCGATTTTAGTCATGCACTTTATAAATCATTGAACGTTTATCTACATTAAGCTTGAATAACTTTTTTATTGAAAAAATTGCGAGATATTATATTTTTAAATTTATAATTATAAAATCATGTTACTTTTTATACATCAATGACATTATATATAAATACGATTACAAATTGTCGACGTGTTTGGAATCACAAAGTATATTTATTTATGTATTCATCTAATAGTAAATGATCATTTTTATCTTAACAGCAATAATGTATTCAAGAGAAACCTATGACGTGTTGATTATTTTAGTAAGATGTAGAATTATATAATTGTTTTGTATTTCCAGAGCTTAATCAAAACCACTTTGTTATATCGATGGACCAATATACATTTCATTATTTGTTATATCTTGAGATTTTCAAGTTTTAATCGTAACATGAGTTGACTGTACATATTTATAGAATGAGACTAATATACAGAGTGTATACTAATGTACAGAGGGCCCAGTATTCACGGACAACTTAAATAACTTTTGTTCCAGTACATTTTTTTTTTTAATTGTTAATATACTTGAGGGCTATAATAATAATTTAAGTAATATCATTTTTATAATTAAATTTACGATAAATGTTTACAAAAATTTCAAAATAACAATTTTTTAGAATAGATTTTAAAAAATAATTCGGTGAAAATAATTCTCATTAATGTTTGGTAGTTAACTTTCTGTAATATTTTAAATTTCATAAAAAATTCAATATTTTTGTATTTATTTTACAGTATCAAACGCTGGCTATGTTATATAATATAGTTAAAAAAAAAAACACGCTTTTAATACACATCGAACTAATAAGTTAAAAATAATATTTAAAATTAGCTTAAAACAATAATGAACGAAAAATACTAGTATTATTGTGAAAAAAACGTGGGCGCTTAGTGCCATATTTTTCGTATATTAAGCACCCAACGCTACTTCGATATGCTTTAAAAGTGTGTCCTTTTAGTTTTTTACATAAATAGCTACGGTATGTATGTTTTTGGTTAAAATATTATTCTATTTAATATGACTATAATTGTTATGAATTCGATCTTGTTTTCATCAAGTTTCATGTACTGTGTCCATCGAACTTTTTCCCTGCTTTATCGGCTTTATGATGGTAGTTATTATCAATATCATGGTTGTAACGAGTAACGGGGATTAGGGTTCGATTCCGGAGAGGGAGTCTGAGAAAGGGCTACCACATCCAAGAAAAGCAGCAGGCGCGCAAATTACTCACTCCCGAAACGTGGAAGTAGTGACGAA